AAAAATGGAGCTGCAACATGGTTGGAGACCGACCACAAATGCCGATTGACTCGTTGGTTCCTAGCCACCAGCCGGCGTACCCCCCTGTTGGAACGCTGGCTGGAGTTCAATGCCATGAGATCCAGTTCATCAAAAGAACGCTGGAGTTCGCGACCCGACCCGCGTTCACAAAAGAACTCTGGCAGGCACAGCAGCTTCAGCAGGTGAATGGCAGATGAAAATCTGATGAAGCCAATAAGCCCCCTTTTTGACCTTCTGCATTCATGGACAGAGATCTCGTATGGGTAGAAAGCATGGAAGAGTTTGCTGCAAAAGGCGCACATTCCTGGACACTACTTCTACCAAAGTGGTGGTGTGTCCCGACCTGCTACTGTCTTCACCCGAATATAGTGTACGGTCATTATAGCTGTATTTCGGGTCTCTCTCAGTACAATACTGGCCGTACGTTGTGTTCGGGTGAAGACGGTAGCAGGTTCTCATGTCTTCTGGACAACATTCCTCCTCGTCTCATCTCAACACATACCTACCGTCTCCTTCCCCCCCCCCGGAATAGAAGTCACCCTTTGGTGATCGAGTGCTTGGCACAAGTTTCAGTCTAGATACAGGAATAATGACCACACACGTTCTATTCGGGCAAAGAAGGCACTATTCCGCGCATTGAAGTTCATGCCTTGCACTCCACCCAGATTTTACAGGCACGGGACCGCACCCTCCCTCCAATGATGGCCGGGTACGCAGATATTAACAGAACCCTGGCCGATTGAGACAAGTATGGCAACAGAAAGGGAGGCCGACTATCATGCAGATGAGCAAAATTCGAGTACCACTGATAACAAGTGGTTGGTTATACCTCTCACAATGGGTATAAGTTCCGTATAACCAACCACTTCTTATCAGTGCGAAAATCTGATAAGAAGTGCCACGGATCGGTCTGTACCATTATGGGTTGACTGCACTTGATTGGCGCAGACCGCACCTCTCAAAAGTGGTTGGTTATACGGAACTTATACCCATTACGAGAGGCAACTGCAGGAGAATGGAGTGCGAGAGTCTATTGCAGAAATAAAAGTCGACGGCAAATTGACGCTTCTGTACAGATTGTAGCATAGAAATAAAAAAGGCTTTCGCTCGCAATGCTACAATCAAAAATGTTTTCTCGCGCAACGCGACAATCAAAAACGTTTTCTCTCGCAAGCCAAGCCGCTTCTGACTTGAAATTCTCACGGCATACTCACCCTAGCTGTATCTTCTTTATCTTTTTTTTTTTACCAATAAAAAAAGGCTGGGACTACTTAAAATGTATCTGACCACATTTACGGCCGGACCTAGATGTATCTAACGGCAATCGCCCTCCACTAATAGAAAAGTCCTCATGCGAGTAATGTCCTTGGACGTGTCGAATTCGAACTCTGACAGAGCCAGGTCTGGCCGTAAATGCGGTCCCACAACCTGTGCCCCAACTTTCCGTGGGAGGGACCCTTTCTCAGTAGATGCAAATATAGCATTCGCAGACGACTTCGAACTCAGAGGGGGAGGGCTGTTGGGCAGCGAGATTTGGTGCCACAACAACCAGGCCCAACTTTCTTTGGGACTTTTTGAGAGTTGTTTTCCTGTTTTACTGACGCCAAGATTCGGACCCAGATCGTCTACGCCGAGATCCTGTCGACCCAGGCTACTTTAGGAGATCCTGTTGACTCAGGCTACTTTAGGAGATCCTGTCGACTCAGGCTACTTTAGGACCTTGCGCCACAGCGCTCTACCCTCAGTTCGGCATAGCAAAAGGCCGATTGCACCGACGGGCCTTGCTCAGGCAGTACACCCGCAAACTGTTGAACTACAGACCCAGGTTCGAATCCAGATACAATCAGATGATTAGAAAAATTAAGTAACTCTGAATCACCTGGGGCCGCTCAGCTCAATGATGATATCTCAAGGCCGTCGCCCTTTAAAAACAATCAAACAAACAAACAAACAAAAGGCCGCTTGCTGCTTCATATGAGGCAGGTTATCGCCACCAGAAAAAAAAATGCACTCCTTTTGTATGTAGCCTGCCGTGGATCTCCGATGATGTACCTCCACCCTTCTAACTAGCATGTCGCTAGGGGCCGTGTATTCGTCACACACTCCCTCCACAATATGCCATGTCATGCCGCGGAGCTGTGCAATAGACCCAAAGCTCGTCCCCGACCACGCCACGGTGACTGTGTAATAGTTCCCACAGAGCCTTCGAGATACGCCATACCATGCCATCCAACGCTCCACAGCACTCCATACCATGCCATCCAATGAGAGACTAAGTTCCATGTGCACAGATTAAGAGGGCTCCCTTGATTACCTACACACAGTATATCTATCTGCTAATCCATGCATGTGAAACCTCGTCTCCCTCGCCCAAGATGGAGCTCAGGCTCACTTATATAGTGGTGCCACTAGTGGGAACTTGCACTGGGCAGCACAGTAGTTGAAGAATCATCGACGGCAATTCTACAGTATATGCTTCACCATTTTTTTCTGAGTCCTCATACACGCAGGTAGTACATGTATGAAAAGCCAGGACCATAAAGACAAATTTTCAATTATTTTGAAGTCTTTCCCTTTTTTTTTACAATAATGCTCCAATCTACATTCGTGGGGAGCAGCACGTGCTGGGAAATTGGGAACCAGGACCTGCATCCCATATGAGGTTAGGTAGGACCATAAAGACCTGTTTTCTCCCCAAAAAAAACATAAACGAAATGCAGGGAGTACCTACGTTACCAGCCGGGCGCCCAGGGCCACCTTCTTTGCCCGGGCGGCCCACCCGTGCAAGGACCACAAGACCGTCCCAGCTTAATAATAATAAAAAAATAAAAAAATAAAAAACTGAAAAATAACAATGTTATGCAGAAAAATAAACTGAACAGCTTTTGCCCCAGGGCCACATCGATTTTTTTTTACCAAATTTCTAGGCTACCAGCCGGGCCGCCCGGGTCCCGGGTGGGGCCAGCCCGTGCAAGGACCAGGGGAGGTCCCAGCAATTTGAAAAAAAAAAACATCCAAAAAATCCACAGAAAAAACTGTGTTATGCAGAAAAATAAACTGAACAACTTTTGCCTCAGGGTCACGTCGAAATTCTTCACCAAATTCAAAATAAAAAATGATGTTTTTATTTTTATTTTTTTTAATGTTGTTGGCCCGGCCGGGCAAGTGACCTCGGGCCACTCTGGTAGCCTGGCCAAATTTCAAATTTCAAATAAAAATAAAAAATATATATTTTTATTATTTTTGGCCCGGCCGGGCAAAGTGATCCCGGGCCATTCTGGTAGCCTACCAGCATTCAGTGTGAGTTGACGAAGAACATGTCTGAGATCTTTCCTCTTTCTTCCTCAAATGCCTCCCACATACAGCAAACAAATGCAAAATTACAGCCGACATTCAGAAACGGACCTGTATAATAGGGGGGACGAAGGAAGCGAAGGAAGGGAAGCGACATGTTTTAACCGCGATCGTAGTGGTGAAGTGCATCTGGGACCGAATAATCCATACATGCCTAGTCCGAAAGTGCTTCTGCGAATAGCGATGCCTGAAAGCACTTCTGTAAATAGCCATGTCTGAACGTACATCTTTAAATACTAGAATAGCCATCGCGTATAGCTAGTTTATAGCCTATTGCAGGATCTGCTGCTCACGTCCACTGACTGGTGGTGTTTTCGTGAATAGCCATACATAGGCCAAAAGTGCTTCTGTGAATGCGCCATAACCTGATTCGCTGCTCTTCCACTGGCTTCTTAATACTTCTGTGAATAGCCATCTCGACAAAAGGTGCTGCTGTAAATAACCATAACCTAAGAGTGCTGCTGTCTGAATAGCCATAGCCTCAATGTGTGCTCCTGTGAATAGCCATAGCCTACAAGTGCGGCTGCAAATGGCCATAGCCTAAAAGTGAACTGCTTCTATAAATAGCCAAAGTCTCAAAGCGCTCCTGTGAATAGCCATAGCCTAAAAGTGCTGCTGTAAATGGCCATAGCCTAAAAGTCGACTGGCTCTGTGAATAGCCAACGCCTTAAAATGAAGTGCTTCTGTGATATATAGCCAGAGTCTAAATGTGAATTGCTACTGTGAAGAGCCATAGCCTAGACGTGCTGCCGTTAATAGCCAGCCATAGCCTAACCAGTGAAGTCCTTGGGAGAATAGCCATAGTCTAATAGTGCGTCTATGAATAGCCATCCATAGCCTAAGCCAGTGAAGTCCTTGGGAGAATAGCCATAGTCTAATAGTGCGTCTATGAATAGCCATCCATAGCCTAACCAGTGACGTCCTTGGGAGAATAGCCATAGCCTAGAAGTGCTGCCGTTTATAGCCAGCCATAGCCTAACCAGTGAAGTCCTTGGGAGAATAGCCATAGTCTAATAGTGCCTCTATGAATAGCCATAGCCTAACCAGTGAAGTCCTTGGGAGAATAGCCATAGTCTAATAGCGCGTCTATGAATAGCCATCCATAGCCTAACCAATGAAGTCCTTGGGACGATTCGGTGCTCGTGCACTACCGTCTTCACCCAAATAGAACGCCCGGCTGGCTGATGTCGCTGTATTTGGGGCCACTTCCAGTCTAGATACAGACGGTAGCCAAACAGAACAAACAACAGGGATGCCCTAGAGAGAATAGGGAGGTCAATCTGCCGACATGCTATCATTCTGCATCCGCTGCTCGAGGTAGCACTGCCTGTTCCTGGCCATGTTACGGGCATACTGGCACCCGTACTTTCCTGAATGCATCCGACGGCATACTGCTGCCAGATTCAGTCAACGCACTCCTAACCTGATTATTATTATTATCCTCTAATCGCCCTTTCAGTTCCCACTTCCCACAAATTGCCTCTGCTACACTTTTGGTGCTTCATTTCTGTCACAATGTGGTCCACAAGTTGATGACAGACAAGTTCAGCATCGTGATAAGCATCGCGATAAGCATCAAGATAAGCTCAGCATCAGAATAAGCTTTCTCCTATATAAAGTGCTGAGCTTGGTACAAAGTGAACTTGGGAGTCGCTTGTGCCGACCTATAAAGCTGACGTCTTCATCCCGATGAAGGAATAGAACGCCCGGTCATTACAGCTGTGCATTTAGGGCAACTTTCGGTCCAAATGCAGAGCGATAATGACCGGGCGTTCTATTCGGGTGAAGACGGTAGGCAGGCATATACCATTGAGCTGACGAGCAACAAGGCAAACAACAACAAAAAAAGTAGAATAAAACACTGTAAAGCATAAAAAAAATATCACAAATCCGTATCACACTAACACCTCAAGATCTAGCAAAACCTTCCGCCTCGCTGAAAACAACAACACTTAAGAAGATCTCTACCAAAACTTTGCACTTCGCCGCGAACAACACCACCAAAACAACCTACGTCACAATGCCCAGCCTCATTCACCGCCCCCCCCCCCCTTTCCCCTTCTCCCTCTCCTTACTCTAGTTCTACAGCCAGCATCTCTCTCTCTCTCTCTCTCTCTCTCTCTCACACACACACACACACACACACACACACACACACACACACACACTATAGATCATCCTCTTGCCTTAGGTACTCTCCTACATCGGCTTGATGGAGGACGACTATGGCATTTGGGTCGAGCTTACGGCATTCTTGGGTGGAGTGCGCAGCAACACCGAAGCCAAGAGGGATATCAGATGCAGAATACACGACGACCCCTTGATACTGCGGCGTGCTTTCCGTGATTCTTCCCAGCCCGCTCTTGACAACGTGGTTGCCATACAAGAACGACATCTCTGCAGACGCCTTCAGCCACACCTTGTACTTGGCGTGCGCCGCCAGCAATTCCAGACACGTCACCGTCAGTCTGAATTTGCTGGAGTGCGTGAATTTGCCAATGCACGTCCCCAACGACGCCAAGTTGTCGTTCCCTACGTTGGTCGCCTTTTTCACAATCGCTTCGCTGACGTAATACACCCTATTCCTATGCAGCCGAAGGCAATACCCGCCGTCCTTGGCATCTCGCGCACCCTCGATCGCCGGCCGGTCGATCAATTGCTTCAGGTTATTCCCGAGGAATTGAAACAGCTTCTCAAACACGGCTTTCGTCTCGCCTTCATCGAGAGGCCTCATACCGGCACACTGCCAATTCCACCCACCCACCCACCCACCCCACCCACTCTCTTCCACCACACTCGCGCCGCCTCCTCTCGTCTTCCGTCGTTCGCTTGGCAATCGATCGACGTCGCCTCTCTCTTCCCAATCACCAAACCTGCACAACACGTCGGCCACATCACACATCATTTGACAGATTTCCAATCAATCAGTACCCCCCTCCCACCCAGCGAGCCCTCTTCCACCTGAGAGAGATTGTCTACCCCTGGGAAAGCGGGACACACGTGGTCCGAAGGATACCGCTGCGCATCCGACAGGCGGTATCCTTCTTTGAAAAAAATAGAAACAAACATAGACAGCGCTAAAAATAGAAATGAAATGAAATGAACAAGGTAACGCTTTGACATCACGACCTACAGTAGTCGCAACAAGAATCAAAGCCGATGATGAAATCAAGGAAAAGAAGATGATGAGAGACAAACGAGTTTAACATCGACAAGTAAAGCAAATGCGGCTGCGCCCGCTCAATTCCAATTACACTAATTATATTCAGTACTGCTAGTAATTACATCTACCATCGATACCGTGTCATGTGAACAACTCTTTCCAGTCGTCGACCAGCAGGAAACAGAGAATTCAAAAAAAAAATAAAAAAAAAATCAACTGCTGCATAGCATAAGAGGGGAATGATGCATCATGCCCGCCCGCAAAAGATGGCGAGAAGAAAAAGGAAAGCCCAAGCCGATGAAAAATCTGACGATGTCTGTAGCAGCATGTCGAGGGACTTTACTAAATTGATAATACTCGATGATGGCCGTGAGGATGAAGACAGAACTACGTACGTGTGTGGGGGGGGGGGGGGGGGGGCAAAGGGCAGGAAGTGGCCTCTCTGTTCCCAAAGCTGGGGGGCGCGCGGCCCCACCAAGATAGGAGGTGTGTAGGGGGGGGGGGGGGGGGGGGGAGGAATAAACGAAGGTAATCTATGACCGCTCGTTTTACAGCGCCTTTAATCAATCAATCCACCCTCACCATCTTGATGAGTGGAAGAAGGCTCGACCGACTGAGCGGAAATGCCGATCATCGTGATCTTGATTGATTCCAATCATTCAGATGCGATCATCACTTCTCCGCGTTTGATTCGGACGCAGAGCTGCTGAGCATTTGGTGTTGACGTCACCAACGCCGGGTCGCGCGAAATATGGAAGAGGAGCGATGCGACCGGTGAGTGGCAACATCCCCGCCAGTCGAACGGAGATTAAAATTACTATTTAAAATAAAAACAAAAACAAAGAGAGAGAGAGAGAGGATAGCAACAGAGTGTCGGACGGGAGGAGCTCGAGACGTGAAGAAAGGACAGTGCACAGAAAAAAAAAAAAAAAAAAAAAAAAAAAAAAAA